AGCTGCAGTTCGAGCGGCGGTTTCTCTTGCCACGGCGCCTTGGCAACGGCGGCGTCCTGCTGCAAGCAGTAGGCGACAAGCGGTAGAAACGTGTAGCGCTCCAAGCACGACGCGACAAACTCGACGGCGCTGAGCTCGGGGACCTTGACGCCGTCGACGACGATGGGCTGCCATGAGAGGCCCTTGGTCACGTATGACACCAAGCAGGTCCGCGTCGCGCCGGTAGACGCCATGGAACTCGATCACATCCGCCTCTCGGTCGTCTAATGCATGCGACCGCGCCACGATGTCGTCGCCACTCTCGGCGCCAACCCCGCGCCGTCGCTCGAGGCGCCCCTGGCGTCGCTTCTTGAGCTCCTCCCGGCATCGTCCGTCTTCATGGACCAGTGGTCGTCGATCGTCCTCGAGAAAGTGGTGCCGCTTTGTAGACCTCGCCGCGCTTCCAGCGATCCCGGCGATTCACGTCCGTGACCGCGACGAACTTGAAGACGCGCTCTCGGGCCGCTTTGCCGACCTCGGTGCATTCGCGGCAGCGTGGCCCACCAAGATCACGGTGCTGTATGGGTGCATCGACGCAGCCGAGGAGGTCCAGACGCTTACGCGCAACTGCAAGCACCTCGACGACGGGCGTATTCACGTGAACTCCTTTGCGGCCTTGCTTCCGTCGCTTCCACCAAGCATCTGCCGCGTGTGGTTTGATGACGATCGCTTTAAAGACGACCTGAATGATGAAGATAACCCGCCTGATGACTCGGACGACGAAGGCAACGTCGGTTTGAGCTTCGTGGCGCCTTTGCGCAGCCACTGGCGGAAACGCCAAGCACGTCGGAATTGGCTGCATCTTGGCGCGCGACGCTGCCACTGCTCTCGCCAGCGTGCTTGTGACAGCTCCGTCCCTTACGACCCTCAGCATTGAGCGGTCGTTCGAGCTCGTAGAGGCGCTGCCGAAAGTGGCGAGTTTTGCGATCGAGCAAGCCTCGACAGAAGATGCCAAGCAATTTCTGGCGCATCTCGACCTCGCCAACCCACGTGTCTCAAGGTTGAAGTCGTGCACGACCTCAGCTGGGCTTTGCCCCTGCTGCCAATGATGCCCAACCTCCAAGAGCTCACACTGGCCTCGGGACAGATCGATGCGATACCATCGAGCTTTCGCAATGCAACCCACGACTGCACACGCTGTCGCTATCGAACGATGACGTCCTCTCGAACGGTGATCTTGACGCGATCTGCCAGTGGACCCGTGGCTTGCAGCATCTGCGATCGGTCCACCTCAGCTATATGCGACTTGATGGCCAGCGCTTGCCGCGTCTCCAGTCGACAATTTGCGCCATTGGATCAACGCGATGGGCGTCACCTCCATTTGTTTGGCCCACGCTGACCTCGGCAACGAGGCAAGCTCGGTGGTGCTTCAAGACTCGAAAGGGTCGTCGGCGTTGGCGCGTCTAGATTTGGATGGCAACTACCTTGACCTTGTCAGCGTCGAGGCTCTGCTCCAAGCGCAGGCGCTATACGGTGTTCAGGTCATCCTTCGACAAGAATATGGACACCGTCGTTCAATCTCTGCTAATTGCACGTCCATCACAAATGTCAACATTGTTTGTTGCAACACGGCTCGATCATCTCCGCGTTGTTGACGAGCGAACCCTCCTCATGTGGCGACTTGGGTGTGATCGCTTCATCACGCAACTTCGTCAACATGACGACAGCCATGCAAAATAATATCAAGTTGATAGATTTAGCGCTCGAGTGGGGACTTGAGAAGCCACGGCGCGGCCGGGTACAGCTCGCCAAAGAGCAGTGTGCAGAACGGTTTGTGGTCGGCCAGACTGTGCCGCGGGTCGGTGCTAAACGAAATGAGAAGCGCCACGAGCTCCTTCTTCTCACTGCCGACGCTCTCGAGCACCTTTTGGAGCTGGCGCGTCGACTTGGAAATTTCCAGCGGCCCGTTGCTGTCAAGGCGCAGCGCCTTGCGGCTGTGCACGCGCACAAAGAGACTCAGCGCCAGAGCCGACGTGTGCAACGATGTCGAAAACTTGGGTCTAAATGGAACGTCAGCCTCGCGCACTTGCCAATCAAAGATTTGTCCTACTTGGCAAAGGCATGCAGAAACGAAAAGCCGATCGCGCGCTGGAGCGTGTCGAGACCATTGCCCGCGTGTCTCGCTTCGCCCAGGTTCCAGAGGCTCTGGCTCACCTACGCCCACGTCAGATGTTGAATACAGATCACAACTTTGCGAAGTACCCGGGAGAGCATGTCTTGCTTGAAGGCCATCGCCACCGACTCGAGCCGCAGTACAAGACAAAACAGCGTGGTACACAGAAAGAGCAGCGCTGGCTCCGCCTCTCTGGGCATGTGGTCGTCGACGCTGCACGCGCGCTCGACGTACTCGACGAAGCGCGCGCAGAGCTGCAGTTCGAGCGGCGGTTTCTCTTGCCACGGCGCCTTGGCAACGGCGGCGTCCTGCTGCAAGCAGTAGGCGACAAGCGGTAGAAACGTGTAGCGCTCCAAGCACGACGCGACAAACTCGACGGCGCTGAGCTCGGGGACCTTGACGCCGTCGACGACGATGGGCTGCCACGAGAGGCCCTTGGTCACGTATGACGCCAAGCTGCGTTCGCAGAGC